TACAGCCTTGACGTACTCCTTTCCTGATTTGGAACCAGTCTGTTGTTCCATGTCCAGTTCTAACTGTTGCTTCTTGACCTGCATACGGATTTCTCAGGAGGTAGGTGGTCTGGTATTCCCATCTCTTGAAGAATTTTCCACAGTTTGTTGTGATCCACACAGTCAAAGGCTTTGGCATAGTCAATAAAGCAGAAGTAGATGTTTTTCTGGAACTCTCGTGCTTTTCCGATGAGCCAATGGATGTTGGCAATTTGATCTCTGGTTCCTCTGCCTTTTCTAGACACCCTAAGAGAAAATAAGTCTGATTCAATGAAATGATTGCTATTTCAATTCTCAAAGGTGTTTCTTTTCTTCTTTAATATTTATTTTGAATAGATAGCATATGTTCGTTGTACAAGTTTCAAAAGGAACAAAGGGTACACAGAAAATAGTTACCCCCCAACCTTCACCCCCTTAACATCCTTAGTGGCAGCCATTGCCAACATTTCTCTTGATCTTTGGAAACACAAATTTATATACTTTCTTTGTCTCTATGCACAAATGACTAGCATACTACACACATGATTCTGCACCTTAATTTTTTTCCAATATATCTTAAAGATCTTTCTGTTAGCACAAGTTCCTGTGTCCCACACACTGAGGCCAAACAAACAGAAACACTGGCATTTGGAGGAGAGAAAGGTTTACTGCAGGGCCAGGCAAGGAGTTAGGTGGCTAATGCCTTAAAAAAATAAAAAACCTGGACTTCCTAAAGGGTTTTGGCAAAGCACTTTGAAAAACCAGGTGAGACGGGAATAGCAAGGGACAGTGACCAGAGGTGGTATCACAGGGATTACCTTTATCAGTCCTTTGGCTGCACACAGCCTGGGGCTATATGCTCACAGTAGTTAAATCTTCCTTGTGGCGGGGTGTTTTCATATCTATAAAGCAACCCCGGAAATGTGCATCAGATACTATTATCTGGTAAACCAGAGAATGGGGGAGGGGGGAGGAAGGCCGCTCCCCAGGAGGCCCCACAGGGTCCTGCAGGCTGTATTTTCATACCAGAAGGCACAGTCCCCTTACCTTTTAGGCATTCCGTGGAAAGGACGCAGGCAGATTTCTTTGACTCGCTCCCTTTGGTAGCTATGGAAATCGTTTCCCGTTCTCCCATATTAAAAAAAAATAATGGTATTTACATTGCAGTTGATGTTTTTGCCAGAGATGCCCCAGGGCCTCTGGCCCGCTGCCCCTCCCTGCTCTCTCCCCACCAAAGGCCTTTTAATTGACTCATTCCTCTACAGTTCGGGCCAGTGTAAAACATTCACAATAAAAACAAAAAACCCAGGACAGCCGGGCCCTCCCACGTCTCCCTCTCCCCGCGGCTCGCCCCGCACGTGGCTCTGCGGTTCCAGCGTCGGTCCTGAGCTTGTGACCGGCTCCCCTGCCCGTGCAGAGGGCGGCTTCTGGGGACGCCGCTTGTCCCGAGCCTGCGGCCACTGCAAAAACCCAGGAGAGGCGGGTAGAGCGCCCCTGCGGGTGGTGGGGACAGACTCGCGCGCCAAGAAGCTGTCACTTGCCGCCCGGCGCGCGCCCGCTCGGCTGCCGAGCAACCGCCAGCCAATCGCCGCCGGGCCCCAGCCGTTTTACGGCAGCGGCCCTCCCCCTTCCCCCTGCGCACCGCCTCCGAGGGGCGGGGCGGAGGTGTGCAGCGAGCGCCAGCCAATCGGCGCCGCCGTCTCGCGCTCAGCGCCCTCCCGTAGGCCAAGAGCCGGGCGGCGGCCGTAAGGCGGGGCCGAGCTGTCGTGACGCGCGCGGGCGGTAGGGTGCGGTGTCCGCGCTGTCCGCTTCACCGGGTGTCATTGGGCTCAGAGGAGCTGCGGCGAGGGCACCGCGGGCGGCTAGGTGTCCGGCACGGCCATGGCAGGAGCGCTGGTGCGGAAGGCGGCGGACTATGTCCGGAGCAAGGACTTCAGGGACTACCTCATGAGGTGATGAGTGCCCCTGGGGCCGGACCCTCGACGCGCAGAGGACTCCGGGCTCCAGAGCGGATGGCGCGCGTGACGAGGGGCGCCGCGGGCAGCGGGGCGGGCGGGAGTCCGGTCACTCCTGAGGTGACGAGTCCTCCGGGACCGGACCCTGGACGAGTCCCCCCGGTCGGATCCTGGACCCTCAGAAGACTCCGGGCTCAGGAGCGATGCCGCGCGTGACGAGGGGCTCGGGGCAGGCGGGATTCCAGTCAGTCCTGAGATGACGAGTCCCCCTGGCCGGACCCTGGACCTTCAGAGGGCTCCGGGCTCCGGAGCCGATAGCGCGCGTGACGAGGGGCTCGGGGCGAGCGGGATTCCAGTCACTCCTGAGGTGACGAGTCCCCGCGGCCGGACCCTGGACCCTCAGAGGGCTCGGGGCTCCGGAGCCGATGCCGCGCGTGACGAGGGGCGCGGGCAGCGGGGCGGGAGTCCAGTCAGCCGAGGAGGGTCCCGGGGTAGCGGGCCGGCGGCTGGGGGGCCGCGGCGCAGGGGCCTCCGGACAGTGGGGCGCAGGTGGAGCCCCAGTGCGGACGAGCGCTGAGAGCCGGCCGGGTCCGGCGCGTGAGCCTGAGGCTCCGCCTCCCGGCACCTGCCCGGCAGGTGTGCAGCGGGCGGGCTTGGGAGGGCGCGCCCTGGCGTCGCGCCGGGCAAGCGGAGCGGTGGGGGCCAGGGCTGCTTCTCCGCCACAAGGGCATCGATCCCGCCGGGTCGACTCGTCCTTTGTGTTTCTCAGCTTCAGGAGGTCAGGCGTGGGTGGGAGGGAGTCACATCCAACACGATTTTACAGATGAATATTCTGCCAACCAAGCGCACGCTTTTTTACACGGTGTTTTCCATTGACTCTTGCCAGGTAGAAAGGGCGTTGGCGGGATGAAAGGCCTGAAGACACTTTCTGTATTTTATTTCTATCTCTAGTCTTGAGACCCCTGCTTTGTATTTCAAAATATTTAATAAAACTTTAAAGCCGTTTTATATAGTTTATTTGGGGGCTTCCCAGGTGGCGCTAGTGGTGAAGAACTTGCAGGCAAAACGTAGTAAAGAGGTAATGACAGCTAAGAATTGTAATCATCCATAGGGTACAGTATGAAGGCAGCTTCATTTACCAGTAAAAATATATATATATATAATTTTTTAAAATTCTGAATCTTACTGCAAATACTGTTTACTTCTAATTTTAAAGATCAGTAGGGTAAGAAAAATAATTTTCTGACATAAATGTGGGATCAAGAACTTCACTCTTGAGTTTTCTTAAGAAAAAAATTTTCTGTACGTATAGGACTGTGGTTAATTAAGATAGATGTTTAGTACTGTGGAGTACAGTATTTATCAGGTTAATGTGCTGGAAAGTCTGAGCAAAGTAGTCTTGTGAGGCTGTGTGCTTAGTCCTTGCAGTAAGTTTCCCTACAGCTTCAGATACTACCTTAGGTTTTACTAATGTTTTCTCCTGTGTATGAGCCTTCCGAATAGTTAAGGACAGCTAAGGATAAAGCTGTATGGTATAATTAAGAATAAAATCTTATCCACATTAGAAATATGCTGATGATCACCTAGAAAGAGTTTGTAGAATATATGTATTTTCAAGGAAGAGAGTTAGCCCCACTTTTCTAAATTTATATTTTTTCTACTAGATAGGTGTCTGAGAGCCAGGCATTTCAGTTGAATGCTCTGATGTGTGGTCTAGCCTTTTTTCAGAGGTTAAGTTCATGTAGCTTTAATGTTTACATACCTTCTCTAGCATTGCTTTAATTGTATTAAGCTCTGACTAAATAAGGAAGAGGATTGCAGTGTCCAGGAAAGTGCTGCCAGGTTTGGCACCCAGCTAGGATTCCGAAGAATGACTTCAGGCCAAGGGATCTCCAGCAGTCAATCCCAGTGGACTTTAGTTACCCCATCTATGAAATGGGCTTAATCACAATNGGTGTTGGAGAAGACTCTTGAGAGTCCCTTGGACTGCAAGGAGATCCAGCCAGTCCATCCTAAAGGAGATCAGTCCTGGGTGTTCATTGGAAGGACTGATGTTGAAGCTGAAACTCCAGTACTTTGGCCACCTTATGCGAAGAGTTGACTCACTGGAAAAGACCCTGATGCTGGGAGAGATTGGGGGCAGGAGGAGAAGGGGATGACAGAGGATGAGATGGTTGAATGGTATCACCGACTCGATGGACATGGGTTTGGGTAGACTCCTGGAATTGGTGATGGATAGGGAGGCTTGGCGTACTGCGATTCATGGGGTCACGAAGAGTCGGACACAACTGAGCGACTGAACTGAATGACAGCCTTCTAGTTCCAACTTCTTGTGGTGGAAATGTCGTCACCACCCCCACCGTGGGTGGGGTCTTTGTTCCTGCAGAACAACTCAAAGGTCTGTGTTAGACTGGTGTGTGTATCCCTTTAGAAGGAGCTAGGACTCTGTTTTGTCGCTGAACTATTGTTTACACTTTCATTACTTTTCTTGCTTACATTTCCTTCTTTCTGTGTTTCCTCACTGTCCCAATTAGTAACTTCCTGAATCTGCCCTTGGGAACTTCAGGAAGGCCTTGGAGACTAAAGCCCTTTTCTGTAACAAGAAACAGGGGCATGGAGGCGCTTTTGTACCCAGGAAGACCCTACAGGGTCCCGCTCATTTTCACGAGGTGTGAAGATGTGTATTTTGACCTAGAAATAGTTCTGTGGACTGAACGGAGGAAGTGAGTGTCCTACTGGGCTTATTTTCTCTGCTGCTCTTGGCAGCAGTGGGATCTCATGTCAGCCTGCCAGGCAGTGATTGAGGACAGATTTGAGGACTGGTATCAAAACTCTCATCAAAGCTCTTTTATTAGGCTTTTCCCCAGAAAGAAAGACTTCTCTCTCCAGAACTTATTAGAGGGATGTTTCCCCTGTTTGTTCTTCCAGTCTTCCTTACAGCCCCTGCTTTGTTTCTGCAAAGGCAAATGAAGCAATAAGAAGACAATTTCATATTCTCATCCAATCAGAAATGGGGTTCTGTGCCTGCTCATCTCATCTGTTCTACATTCTTTGCAATCCTGGACTACTCAAGAGCTCCAGCCTTCTTCTCACAGCCTGCCAAAGGGGTGTAGAGGTTTTCCAAACTAAAGCTGTTGTAGAGTTTTAAAGTCATCTTATTAACAACAGAGTTGACGTCTGCCGCAAAAATTTAAATCATGTTTCACATAGATTATAAATTCCTGTCAGTTACATTTTCTGAATAAGATTGAAATGCCTTTCTTACTGAAGTGAATATTCAAGTGTATTTTAAAATGTTGATTTTTTTTTTTTTTTTTTTTTTCTCTAGTTCTTATGTNTTTTTTTTTTTTTTGGTCCTCTTCTCCTCTTATTCTCCCTCCTGAATTAAGAAAAATAAATTAGAAGGAGCAGCTAAGCTTGGAGATAGGACATGTGTTTTGTGGTCTGTGAAGGTCTGTGCATGTTTATACTAGAGATTTATTCCCCTTCCTAGAGGAGTGAATGGATGTGTATGTGCACATATGTGTAGCAGAGATCTTCTTAAGTAAGCCTAGATCATGAGTGTTAGAAAATCAGTTTATCAGTCAGCGTGCTCTTATAAACCCCAGGTAAGTTGGGTGTTTGCAGTGAGTATTCTCCAGTTGGTAAGGTTTTCTATTCTGTTAATTTTAACTTCTAAGCTTCCAGGAGAGCTTTAAAAATTTATACTTAATACCCAAGGGAGAAGTTGCAGGGGAAAACAGAAATCTTTCCAAATAGAATAGAATGTTAGAGCTGAATGGTCCTTCGACATCAGATGGTCCAGCACTTCACTGGCCATATGGGAAAACTAAGATCCAAACCACGCAGAAAAGTTAAGGTGTTGAGACTCTCTGGACACCAAGCTTGTGAAGCCAAAACAGGAATGTCTGTTTAAGATTTGAAGGGAAATATTTACACACAAAAATGGTTTTGAAAAGAAGGTTTCATTACTTTCTTTGAACCTCCTTTTCCTGTGTATGTCTCCCTTCTCTGCCACAAGCTTCCATATCCTGCCCTTGGCTTTACTTCCCTGTCTTGTAAATGACCTTCAAACACTTTCTGAGGCTGAGTGTTGAAGGTGAACTGGCCACAAGAGTCTCTTTTCTGCCTTCCAGTTTAATTTTGACCAGTTGAATATCACACATTCTGATTTTTAAAAAACTCCCTGATTTTAACTTGAAGTAGAGAATCAGGTAAAAGTTGGTGAGAATAAGTGAAATGGTGGTCACCATTTTCAGCCTCTAAGAGAATTGCGGCCTAGAATATCTCAGAATCTTACTCTACTCTCAGGAGTGATATAGACAGACTGTGCTCAGATCCTTTTAGTACTGTATAAGTAAGTTATAAACTACCTAAATTACCCAGAGCACTTGCAGAGAAAGCTAACAATTACTGTCAGTAATTTTAGGAAAAGAAGAAACAAATTGGCAGTGCCCAGGAGACTTTGTGAAAATAAAAATGGGTGCAGAAGAAACCTGGAACCAAACAGACAGTATTAAAATAAAAGTTTATTCAGGGGGGTCCTGGTCTTCC